AAGAAAATACTCTCCAGGTGCTTTGACCTGTATCATTGGAAAATTTCCCCACCTCTAGCAGTATTGGTAATTATGTTAAGTGTAAATGGACTGTAGTGAGTTGAATTTTGTCCCCACAAGAGATATAGTCACCTCCTAATCTCCAGCACCTGCAAATATGACCTTAAATGGAAACAGAGCCTTTGCAGAAGCACTCAAATTAAGATAAATAGGCAGGACCCTGGAAAAATAGTATGTTTATTGGTTTAAAAACTGCATTTGGAAAGTACCTTCCGTCAGGGATTCTCAGATTTCCACACTTCATCTTACCCACCTACATGACAGAAACAGCGGGAAGGAGAAAATGAAGAACTTGGGACTTTTATACAGCGAGCCTGGTGACAGCCAGGATAGCCGGTCTCCCCCGGTTGGCTCTGAGGAGGCAGCAGGACCATTTACTTGGAAGATTTTTACTTCTAGTAGCCCTCCTCCTCCTGGGGCAGTCTGGAGCGTGTGCTGGGTCTTCTTGGCCATCTGATTCCTCAGGGACAGGACTTGAACAAGAGAGCTCAGAAGGTTTCAAATTGTCATCAGTATAAGAAGAAGGCTAATTGGGGAGGTTACTTCTTGTTGTCCCCTTTCTCCACACAAAGCCCCATGTGAATGTGGGAGCTGCTGGGGGTCCGCTACCCTGCCAGGTGTGGGTCCTGCCAAGCGCCCTCACCACCACAAGGGCTTCCTCTCATCTGTGCCCCACAGTGGATGGTGAGAGGGGCTGTCATTGCCCAAGTCGAGCCCACACTGGTCGGGCTCCAGGGACTCCTGCCTTTGCTTGGTACTAACAGCTTTGTATTCTTCATTGCCTTTCTGTGTTCTCTTCTTCAAAGATTGCCACGGGCTCCCACACAAGCTCGGTTGTGTTTTCTTGCACTGGCCATGAGCCCTTCACAGCAGCTTCACCCCTCAGTCACACCTCCCGTCACAGCCAGGAAGCACCAAGCCTGGAACTGCAGGCTCGACCTCAGGGAAGAACCAGGGACAATCGCTCTATATTGGACGGGCATGTGATATGTCTCCCTGGCTATCAAAGTTTTCATTTTTAATTCTTTCTGTGATGCTGGGGTTTGAACCCAGGGCTTTCATACTTAGCTACGTTCTTGGGCCTTCTTTATTTTTATTTTGAGACAGAGATTCAGTGAGTCACTAAGTTGCTTGGGCTGGGCTTAACCTTAAAAATTCTGCCTCAGCCTCCCAGAGTGCTGGGATTATGGCCTGTTCTATCACACCCAGAGTACAGCTAGTCACATGGGTGCTGGTTCGATGGCAGCCTGCTGGAAAATTCCACTTAGCCCTGTGCTGGTATCACCATATTGCACAAGGCACTGTGCTCTTTGGGACTCCTCCAGAGCCTGTGGGAAGCGCTCTGGAACACACTCCTGGACAGCGAAGCAATGATTTTTCAAGCAGGTGAAAGGCATCCAGATAATAAACCGGTCAGTGTCATCTCAGACCCCAAAGGAGAGGTGGTAATGATCAGGAAGACAGAGCTCGGACTCTGAGGCGCCTGCCCCGAGAGACGGCAGTCTCCCCTCCAGCAGTTCAGCACTGACAGACGGGCACTCAACGGAGTTCAAGGCTCTGAGCTTTATATAGCTGCTGCGTAAGCAGGCTGAGAAGCAGAAGGCTTCCTTGGGTGGAAAATATTTCACATGCGCTTGCTGAGCCAAGTGCCTCAAGAAAAAAGTATTTTTTTCCCCTCCCAGTGTTGGGGATTGAACCCAGCACCTTCACACTGAGCTGCACCTCGTTCTTTTTATTTTTTATTCTGACACAGAATTTCTCTAAATCACCAAGTTGCCCAGGCTGGGCTCAAACTTGCGATTCTCTTGCCTTAGCCTCCCAAAGCGAATGGGAATTACACTGGTGTGCTGGAGTTTCAGGTGTGCACCACCATGCCTGGTTTATGGGAAAGAAGTTTAAAAGCAAAGTTTCCATCAGCTTCCTTCTTGAGAGGACGTTTAGGAGGATATTGTATATACAAAAGATGCACGAGAAGTACAGATTAAACATTGCCTTCGTTTTTCTTTTCCCTTGTTATGAAATGGGAGAAGAGGCTAGAATTTCAGGTGCTTTGCCCCCAAACTCCACTTCTGGTCTCCTTCCTAGATTCTATAACAGAATTAGGAAACCGGAGATCCAGCTGTGAAAAGACCCCAAAATTGCTTCTAGACCAAGAATCCAGAGATGGGATGAGATGTCCTCAGTCCAAGTTATAAGAAGGTCACAACACCTTGATTTTGGACTCTAGGATCCAGAGCGCGAGGAAAATTTCTGTTGTTTTAAGTCCAGTTGTGGTAGTTTGTTATGGTAGCTTTGGGTGACCAAGATATGGATCAAACACTGCAAATAAAAGACAAAAGCCAGGCCTGGTGGTGCACATCTTTAATCCCAGCACTCTGGGCGCCAGAGGCAGGAGAATAACACATTCAAATTCAATTTGATTAACTGAATTTGTGGTTATGAGACCCTGCCTCAAATTTAAAAAAATTTTTTTTTTTTTTGTACCGGGGATCGAACTCCAGACCTTGTGCTTACAAAGCAGGCGGTGTATCAAAGTAAACATTTAAAAAGCCTGGAAATATAGTTCAATCCTGAGTAAAACACACATATACCATCATCATCACCAAACAACAACAGCAACAAAAGGCAGAGACTGTTGTATCATGCTGGAGGAGAAACAATTTAAATGATGTTTATAACAGACCTACTTTATATAGACTCTCACAGATAGGTTAACTGTAAGAAGAAAGAGTTATACATTGAGGAAACACTACCAATAGAAGCTCTTTGTGGCTACGTTAGTATCAGACCTAATAGACTTCAAGGTGCATCAGGAGAGAGGACACTTCTTACAGATAAAACAGTGGAGCACAGAACAATCCTAAAGTGAATGCAACTCATAACATGGCTTTAAACTATAGGAGGCAAAAATTAGCATAGCTGAAAGGAGAAATATTCAAACCACATCGTAGCTAACGAAGTTCACAGCACACTTCTCTTGGTAAATGAGAAAATAAGCAGGGGAAACAAATAAACAGTACATATAAACTTTAAAAAAAAATAAGCAGTAGGATTTACCAGATTGATCCTTTTTGATTTTTCAATTTTATTTCATCAGTGCGTGTTTGCAGTATGTAATGGTTACAGTCCTTGTGTGGAGCTGGTCCGTGCGCGCAACACATCCTCATTTCTTTCTTCATCCCCGTTCCTTTCCTCTCTCTCTCTTGATCCCCTTCCCCTCGAGAGAGATCCATCTCCCTACTTCCTCTTACATACACATTTTTAAGCAATGAGCTAAACAGATGCAGAAAAATCAGCGAATCCCACTGAGAAGTAGCTGTCAGTGGCACCCCGAGTCTTCCCGCATGCCGGCAGGTTTTTGACCGATTTTATTGTCAGGGAGATTTCTCCTACTCGCAGTAGTGACAGAGACGCCCTCTAAGGACAGAGCAGCCACAGTCTACAGATTTCCCACTTCATTTCCTTGTCCCCACTCCTTTGCCGGTACAACGTTTGCGCCACAGGAGAACGAAAGAGATGAGGATGCTTGGGACGTAGACAAGGCGAGGGGGAAACCACAAGTCAGACAAGCACTTGCAGGAGAGGCGGCAGTGTGCATACAGGAGTGGGAGTGCTGGATAGCTAGGAAGACAGGAGGCAGAGTCCAGGCTGGGACCCTTGCTTCTCTCCCTTGAAGTAAGGGTGAGGCAAGGCTGTAAAGGGCCGTGAGATAAGGATGGGGCCAGTGGAAAATTATGGGAGGCGACACACTGGTTAAGAATGCAGACTTTGGAGTCCCTCTGCCCTGGTTTCAGGCCAGCTCCACTTCTTTCCAGCTGTGTGACCTTGAGCAAGTTAGTTTACTCCTTTGTGCTTCATCTTGCAGCTGAAAAGCAGGGATCACAATGGTGTGGATTCGTGAAGAGAAAGCAATCGGGCCGGGCGGTTCTGATGCAGGCGGCACCAAGGCTTTGCTCCCACTGGAGGGGTTCGCTTTAGACGTCCGTTGGTGCAAAAGTGCGGGTCAGGTCTTAGGACACCTGCTCAAGGCCTTTGGACCATCACAGCGTCAGACAGACCCCCAGGCTGTGACCTGTGGAGGCGCCTTGCGCGACTGCAGTGAGAAACCCGTCCTGGAGGAGAAATACTTCCTGCTGTGGGCCTCAGTACCCCCCGTCCCCTTCTCTCCAGTGTTCACTGTTGGTTTTAAACCCAGTGACTGCCCCCCTTTTTTTCTGATTGTGAAAGCTTGGAATAATTGCAGCATTATTCGTGACAGCTAAGCCCTGGAAACAGCCTAAGTGGCTATGAGTAAAGGTGTAGAGAGGTTAAGTGTGGCAGGTTTGTTTGGTGAACGCTCTGTAGTGCTTAAATGAATTGGTCTGACACACAGCACCCTGAGCAGCTCACGGAAACCTAACGACCGGGGAAAAGGGGAGGCTGCATTTTATGTAGCATTTGAAGAATACAAACAGGAACATTATGTGATATTCCTGAAAGCTGGAGCTTCTAGAAACACCCAGGGGTGCCGATGAGCTGGGGGCACCCTCAGGAAGACAGGTTTGGGGACTGGTGACAGAGCAGACTTAAACTTCGCCTGTCAACTTCTGTTCCTGTCTTATTACTTTCTGAAACAAAACAATAGTCAAGTCTAGGTAGGGGTGTCATGATTTTCCTGTACTTTCCCCTATTAAAAAAGAAACAACGAACTTTATGCACAGTGTAGAAAATTGAGAAAACAAAAACATTTAAAAAGCCAATAGCTAGTATGTAGATAGAATCGCCATTGTATTTTATAGATATGTATATGACTATTCCATATATATGGCTTTGCAAAATCCTTTTTAAATTTAATGTGTTATATTTTCTCTTTAAATATTCTTTAAGCCCATGGTCATCAGCTTTTGTCCCTGTTCTTGCTTCCCGTGGGTTCCCGCTATGCTGGTGCTGTCTCCTTCCAGCTGCCGTGTGATTGACTACTGCCAGGATGGAGATGTTACCAGACTCAGGAGACCCGGAAGGCTCCACCTGGAGGTGGAGGAGGCCAGCGGGAGGCTCCGCAGGGTAGAAATGCCGCACAGGAATCGCTGGTGCTGATGTCGAGGGAACCATCCCTTGCAAGAAAGTCAAATTCGCAAAAGAAGCTGATAAGAAATGCTTTGAAGATTACATGAAATCAAGCAAAGGCGAATTTGAAGAAGAGAGATCAGAAAGAGGAAAACCTTTTACATGGGAGGCCACACAGCAAATAAGTACATCCTTGCTAATTAAAAAAACTACCAGATCTTTCATGGTGAAAACAGGAACCTAGAAGGCATGGTTGCTCTTCTAGAAGGCTGCGAGGATGATTGGGATCCCATGTATGCCGTGTGTGAGTGTGTGTGGTACTGGGGATGGAACCAGGGCCTGGACCATGCTATGCAAGTGCCCTACCACTGTGCTGTACCTAGTCTCATCCTCACAAATGCCACTTTAAAGGATAGTTTCGAAATAGAACAATGCTAACAAATTTGGTAATTACCTGCCTTTGTAACTAACTGCTACTTGTCATTTATACCAGGGCTTAACACAAAAAGGACTGATGTCATCTGTGTGTGTTCCGGAGATCACAGTACTACACACTGGGGAAGCACTCTACCACTGAGCTAGGACCCCGGCCCTTTTTATTTACTGTTTGTTTCTGTACTTTGGAGACAGGGTCTCACTAAGTTGCCCCAGCTGACTTCGATCCTCCTGTCACAGCCTCCTGGGAAGCTGGGGTCACAGGTGTGTCCCTACACTCTGTGGCTGAGTCATTGGAGCGCTTCACTTTCTTTCACCGTGGTATATTTGAAGTGAAGGAATCCTTTTAAAAGAGAACACCATGTCATGTAGGCATTCTAAAAATACAATGCCTTTATTTAAACTGAAAAAAGGATTACCAGTGGCTACAAAAGAGTTCATCGTCTGCACATACTGTAATATATTCTATCATGCATCTCTAGCTGGGTATCTGAATTGTTTCTGACTTCTGGCTATTGTAATAATGGGGCTGTAACATTGTATGTTTCTGATGGTTTCTAAGATAAATTTCTAGGAAGAGAATCTAAGTTCAAAAGCTCCGCACATTTTGAAGGTCATTGGTAGCATTGCCAGATTGGTTTTCAAAAGGTTGGGCTGCTCCACACACTCGTCACTATTTCTGCATCTCAGGGTTCTTCCATTGGATAGTAAGACTCCTAAACTGACCTCGCCTCTACTGCAAATTTTGTTTTTCCTTTCTTTTTTTTTTTTTTTTTTTTTTTTTTTTTTTTT